AATTATTTAATATATGAAATGAAAAAACAATTTTGTTGATCGTTTCTTGACTTATTTGAGAGAGCGAATGTGGCATAGTAGACAGCGCATTGATCTAGTATGCTAGAAATCCCGGGTTCGAGTTCTGGTAGAACAAAAGTATTTTCATACGCTCGCGTCTCCTCTCGACGGTCTGGCATATTCTTGCCCATAGACCCTCCTCAAAAATTTGTCGTTCGGCGTTAAAAAGTAGGTCCTATATGCCTGTGCATCATCTACATGCGCACCACAGGCATGAGAGAGTGAAGCCTAGAACAGGCTTAAAGATCTATATAAAAAGTAGATCAACAAAATTGAAGAATAGAATAAAAAAGAATTCTGAAACGAGTATCCCATACTGTCCTCCCACCTTGTTCCAAACATTAGTCTAAGCTCTCTATAGAGACTGTATCAGATATTAAATTGATAAGAGTAAATACAATACATTTGGTCTTAACTCAGATAAGTCCTTCTTCCTACTTTCATACATGCTTTTAAAGCCTATCCTATCTCACTCTCATATGCCTATGGTGCGTATGTAGGTGATGCACAGGCATATGGGATCTACTTTTTTAACGCCGATTCCGTTCGCTCTTTGTTGATCTTGTTTGATACTAAATATTCGCTTTTTGTATAGTTAGAAAGAGAAGCTTATGGGACGCTTTTCTTAATTCATGATAACGGATTAAGGAGAAGAAATTCTATGTCATATATAATCTGAAAGAAATCTGGAGAAATTGAAAATACAGTAAGTCATCATTCATAATGAGCAGAGCTGCAATCCAAAATTGTACTACGAGTAAAAGAGTCTTAGTTAACTCATAGTTGCCCCAAAACACGAAGTAACATATTATATGGGTGGAACTTGTTTGTTCCAAAGTTCATAATAAATATACTCAGAGTCAATTTTTCTAATCGTGCCTTTCGAAATAGGTTGATAGAACAAATTAGTAAATTTTAGGAAAAGCACGCCATTCCAAAAAAATTTTGTTCGTTTCACATATATTCCCCGTATTGACCATTAGAAATATTAATAAATATTTAACGGACATTTTCTAATCCTATAGATGTCCATTATTCTAAGCCGTTCCAAATTTATTCAATATAATAATTGATAAATATATGTAATTATATACAAAATATGTCCATATTAATATATATCATAAAAAATATATCATAATATATCATATATATTCATGAATAAAGATATATATATGATTATATATGGGCCATTTTTTCTTATTTTTTCAAACTTAACTTTTTATAAAATAAACAATATTAAAATTATCTTTTTAATTATTTTTGTCTTCCCATTATTACTATTATTTTTCTTATACATCAAACAGAAACTTTACAAAAAAAACTAATATGAATATATATGGATTAATATAACTATATACATTTATATCTAGTCTTGCAATAAAGATTTTTTATCGGACAGTTTACTCTGACTTACTCTGTTCCTCATCACTCCGGGTTTTATAGATTTACTCGAGCAAAATTTTGGAACGCAGCCACGCAAAACAAAACATTGTTAGTTGACTTCTTCCATCTTTCAATTTACTATCCTGATGGCGATATCGATCTAATTATCGTTGATAATTTTTACCGATTACGCCTATGTACAAGGAAACTGGCGCGCACGAGCAATACAAAAGTTGTATCGTCACGTTTACTCTTAACGCCATAAATGCCATGTTGAATTAGTATATATTTGTGTAAAATGAATCTGCCCACCGTAAACGATTATTGTATCTTGGAAAAGATCGGCACTGGGAGTTATGCGACTGTGTACAAAGCGTTTAAAAAGGTATGTGTAGATTTTTTTAGCTGCCAACTTTTCGCCCCTTTCAAGAAGATCCAGGTTAGGTTCATCCTAAACACTATGAATCTGCCTATTAAGCATGTTCAATTATTTATCACAAAAGGAAACATATCTGCGTTCGCTCACGTATTATATGTAATGCTTTCTCTTGTGTCAATCCTTTTTTTTCTCCTGTACAATATACCGAAAAATAAACACACGTTATCGCCGGAAACTCAATAGCGTTGCGCCGCAGCACGTGCAGTATCGAACTTATTTTCTTTCGGACCCTCAACTTTTAGAGGTCATTTCATCTAACAAAAAACTTATTTTTTATTGTTGCACTGGATCGTACTAAAATTTTCTTTCTCGTTTTTATCAAACTTCGAAATATATTTATTTCATTTTAAGTTCAATAAAATGTTTATACACTAGTTCAATTATAAAAATAGACCTCCCAAATAGAACAAAAAAAATCATATAAAAATCAAGATGATGTCAAAATGATATCATTGAAAAGTCAAGGTTATATTTTATATTTTCAGCGAATTGTAATTTGAATTTTTTGACTTGTAATCTTTTAATGACTTTCGCTTAAAAAGTATATAACTTTATATATTAATAATAATTTACACATAATCCATATAAAACATTCGTATTTTCTTTGTTCTTTTCAAATTAATTACTAATAATGCAAAAAAATTCTAGTCATATTTGTAATTGTTATTTTTAAATAACATTTTTTGCAATTATGATCAATAGAACATTGTTTGTAATATTAACAATCTCTCATCTGTTATTAATAATATCTTAATCATGTATTACAAATTATTTATTTGAAAAGAATACAAGTCTTTTCAGAGTATTATACCTCATATAAGTGATAAAAAATCATATTTTCATTAT